GAGAGAGAGAGAGAGAGAGAGAGAGCGAGGGGTGAAAGGGGGAGCGGAGCGCACGGAGTGAGACGGGGCGCCCTTGAGGGGGGCTGCAGAGAGAGGGAGAGGGTTGTAGGATGAGGGGGGAGGGGGAGGTACATCGGTACGTCGCTTTGGTACTCACCGGCGGCCGGCGCGTACACATTGAGGTAGAGGCAGTCCTCGCTCTGGTCCTGCAGGTAGGGCAGCAGGCGCTGCACGGCGCTCAGCCTGCCCGCCGACACGTTGAGCAGCGTGAGGTCCGGCAGCACCTGCGGGCACACGTGGCCGAAGCGGTCCGCCACCTTGAGGCCCTTCCACTGGCTGGGCGAGGCGGGCGGCATGAAGCGCTGGCTGCCGACGGGCGGCTCCGCGTAGGGCAGCCCCAGGAACTGGTGCACCTCCCCGAAGCCCGGCACGGTCCGCACCACGCCCACCAGGCGGCCCTGGCGCACCGCGATCTCCCGCGTCACGCCCGAGGAGGAGTAGCGCGGCACGGCGCCCAGGCCGTCGTCGGCGTACTGCTGGTGGTAAGGGTAGGACGGCGGGCCCGGGTCCGAGATCATGTCGCCGTCGGCACCCTCGGCCAGCACCCCAGTGGGCGTGAACTGGGCTGACTTCTTGGGGTTTGACATGCGCATGCGGCCCAGGATCTCGCGCAGACTGCCGCTCGAGGCCGAGGCGGGGGCCGGCGCCACGCGCTTCGGCATGGCGCGCCACAGCACGGACTGGCGCTCCGTGTCCTCGCCGTCCTCCTGGCCCGCCTGGCCGCTCTGCTCATCGTGGTCACCGAGGCCGCCGAACAAGCTACTGAGTGGGCTGAGGCCGCCGCCGATCTGCCGGTCTTCTGGGGGCATGGCGGCGGCCAGGACCAGCACGACTGCCAAGGCGAGGATGGTCTGCATCCTGGCTCCGATTCACCGGGATGCTTGTCCGGGGGCGACCTGGTGCCCCGCGTGCTCCCGTCCGCCGAGGCTGCAGCCCATGCTGGCGTGGCTGGCGCCGGCGCCAAAGCGGCCCCGCGGGCCTCGGGGCATGCTCCAGGGGCTGGTGCCGCGAGCTGCCGCGCGCACGGGCACGCTCGGGCCTTGCAGGGCGTAAGCCGGCGTGCGCGACCGCTCCCCGTGGAGACTTCACCCGCAGCGCCGTCGCGTCGGCCACGGCCACACGGCTCTGGCCGAGGATTCAGCGTGACTGAGGCCGTGGTGCTACGGGGTTGACGGCGACGTCGGCAGGGCGCGCGCACCGGTTAGGTTCACGTCGGCGGCCTCTCTTTGCATCTCCGTCCTTCCCAAGCCGGCATCCGGTGCGTCTCACTCCCCCCTGGTGCCACGGGCAGAGGGCTTCGGCGCGCCGAGAATAGCTCAGCTACTGCCGCTACTGCACCGCCGGCAGCGCCAGGGCAGCGCTGCCTCGACCACCGCAACCGCGGTCATGGCGCCAGCAGCAACTTTTTTTGCAGTTTTTGTTGAATGCGTGCTAACTGCCTCGGTAGGCTACCAAACCGCATCTGGGTACGAGTTGTCGTTTCGGAGATGGGTTTGGGGTGTTTTCTTCGGTGACGATTCTACTCCATGCAAAATCGTGTTTTTCACGGAGAAAAAAAGCTCCACTGTGCGCCGACAAAATGAAACAATTTTTATAAAGCATCTACTGTTTGATCGAACTGGATCGAGCGGTAAATTACAAGCCTTTTGCGAAAAACTGCAGGATTTTATTTCAGGCCCAAATGAACATTTCTTTCTAAATATCGGGGCAAATTGGCAGATTCGAAGACACTGGTTCGCAACTTTGTATCATCTGCTTTCATCGCATGGTTCGTTCCTTTACAATTTTGTTTTTGAAGAGGTGAGTTTATAGGTCGATTTAGTTTAGTAATCAATCCTTCCACTTTGCTACTAGTTCCGCGGGGAACTCAAATTTGTATTCAGTACTGTACTATTATTGTCGGTTGTCGTCGGGCCCAAACTTTTAATCGCCCGGTACCACTAGAAAAAAGGAGCACACATTCTCGCAAATTCTTCTAATATAAGTTTCCAGAAACGGATGTAAAATCAAAATCACTGCTGCTCTCTGGTTGGTTCCGCTACAGTTCTGTTTGTCGCTCGATTCCTCCGGCTTGCAGCGGCTGACTCAGCATTGCTCCCTGCCCCCGCGCGCCTCTCTCAGCCCCGCGCGCATCCCACAGCGGCAAGCCCGCAGCTCACGTCTACTCGACGGGTTGCATACCCACCGACTGATGAGACGTCTTGCGCCAGCAGTGTTGTTTGTGCGCGCGGGGGCGAGCGGGAGGGAAGTCCCTCCAGGACCACCAAGACCTGCCCG